TTTGTCAATGAAAATCCATTTACAACCCACTTGTCACCTCCCAAAAGAGCCCTTATGGGTGGTGGGCAGCCCAGGACTTAAATACTGCTTTTCGGCTCTACACCTAGCCAATGTGGGACTATTTGTCCGTGACATTCTCCTCCACCCAATCACGTGACGCCCTCGTCAGAGAGTCCACACACTTGGCAGGCAGTAATCTGCTTTGATACCACTTGTCACCTCCCAAAAGAGCCCTTATGGGTGGTGGGCAGCCCAGGACTTAAATACTGCTTTTCGGCTCTACACCTAGCCAATGTGGGACTATTTGTCCGTGACACACTGCTCACTTTCACAATGGTAGCTTGGTAATATCTCAAGTTTGTTCTTGTTAAGTACTTGAACTTTCTGCAAGATAATAGTTTTCCATTAAAAAAAATTGACTGCCTTGTATATTAACTTTGGTATTTATAATTGGTTAAGATTGCTAACAAAAGCTCAAAAACTTGATCAAAAGTTTTTAAAATACAAAGTTGTAGATATGGTACTTAATGCAAGACCTCACACCTTCTTGATGGCAATATGGCTATTAAGATTTTCATCAATTAATTATGCATCCATGGGTTCATAAAGATGTTATGTGGGAAAATTTCAGAGGTCCCTAATTTGCCCTAATTTGTTCACCTTGCTCAAGATATGCTCTATTCCTTGTTTTTTATAAAATAATCAATTTCCTGTAAGATGAATAAACTGACTAGGAAATGAAACATGTTTTTCCTTGATATAACAAGAAGAATTGTTGGTTCTATTCTGCCTTGTGGAGTATTGGGACTATGCTTGGTGGATATGCGGATGGGTTCAAATATGTCAAAATCTATATGTATATTGATTGTCTCAAAGTTTATATTCTTGTGAATTCTACTTCTGATTATCAAATTTTTGTAATATGATTGATTTTCCAAAAAGATTACATTCCTGAAGTCGAGGAAGTGAGTTTAGTGACAAAATTTGGGAGGTGAGGCCCTAGAATTTATTTTTAATTTGTTTTACTGCAGGCTCTGATATTCTGTACTGATTATGCTCTCATCTAAAAACTTAAAGATCAACCCCTTATTGCATGATTTATAATTTTCTAGAATCGAGGCATCTCCCTTCATATGATATGAGGAATTGAAACCTATTATCTACTGCATTTATCTATTTTGCACTTAAGATATTTATGAGATTACCATTTTAAGCCCACAACTAGTATCAATAATCGTTGTTGCAGGGTCAAAATTGCTTTGAAATTTACATTTTATGGGACTTTCATTCATTTTTTGTTCAACTTGCTTAATTTTGTGTCGTTGGCAGCGGCAGCATGTTCACAACTTTTTGTGGTTGGAAAAACATTGAAGTTTCCAGTCTTCTAGTTTGCATCGAGTTTATAGCAAGTGTCTTTAGTGTGACTTGATTTGTGGCAGTGATCACAAGGACATCACTTCTGTTGTTTTTTTTTTGAGGTTTGAGTGTTTTTTTTTTTTTTTGAAATTATGTTCGAGTGTTGTTAGAGTTCAAGGATAGCGGGTAGGCCCTCTGGTGGATGAGGAAATTGAAGATCCATAATCAATTTTCAGTGACTTATATCTAAGTGAACCTCTGAGAAAACTTACGGAACTATGGCCAGCGGTTTGTTTTTAAGGGTCTGTTTGATGGCGATGCCATCTAGTGCACGCATGTTGGTTGGTCTCAAAAGGTTGTTGTTAGTTGACTGGATGAAACAATAATAACGTGGTGTGAATAATTCATATTTCATTTCTGTGGATGCAATAATAGTAATAATACTTGCCAACCATTAGGGAGTTCATAATTCTTTTTTAGATAGTGATCTTCAAGATCTAATGATGGACTACTTCTACAATAGAGGTTAGTGCGGTTAAAGTTACTTGAAATTGCTTAGTTTGTGATTGGCTTTTATCTCCTGATGCCAACCCTTCAATGTTCTCATGAGTTTAAGTGACTTTTGTACTCTATGCCTTGCATTTCTTGGGTTTTTAAGACCCTTCTTTTTGTAAATGTTACAAATGGTCAAACCAATCTCTGCTCGGTAGGAACATAGCAGTTCGTATACTTGGCTTAACATTGTATGTATTGAAATAGTTATTTATTTATAATTTTTATTGCAGAGTAAGCGTGGTAGATGAATCCTACTTAACCAAGCTGTACTGTATGTTGCATTGAAAAGTAATCAATGTGTGACTCAATGATCTTACAATATAAGGATACGAACATAATTATGCCCTCATTGAATGAAACTTACATTATTAAAGCCAATTGTAGAGTTGATTGGATCAATGGGTAACTTTTAGGCCAACTCTTGAGCCGCTAGACTTGAAGCAAGCCAAGTTTTGGCTGCTTGATCCTAAACTAAGAAGTCGACAAGACTTGAACCCGTAATGTTTATGGGGTAGCTAGCTTCAGGATCGGTGAGGTCAATTTCCTTGGAGAGGAATGTGGTGTTTGCATAAACAAGTATGCAAAACTGTATTGTTGAAATTATATGGATTAAGAATATAATTAATGTCATAGATTACATTGGAACATTATAATTTTGAAGACTCAGTACTAATTAGCGAACATCTGATGCATGAAATTATTCATATATATTTTTGTATTTGAAGATAGGAAATATAAACTCACGTATTAAGTCAAGGTTCAAAAAGAGTCGCAGAGGAGATGCATTTAGAGGTTCATTCAATTCAAAATTTAGGCAAATGGAATTTTGCTGCTAGGTACTTCCATACAAATAATAGAAATCTGAATAGGCAGATTAACAGCTCACATCAATGTTTGGAAAATGGGATGAAACCAATCTGAAATGCGCATTTCAGATTAATTTGCATTCGACAAGAGAAATGAATTAAGCCAATACAAATTGGGACTTCAACTCTTACCATCTGTTTAGTACTTCAAAATTTATTTGTATGATTCCTAAGAAAACCAATTAATCACCATTATTTACTTATTTTTATAAAATATTTATATATATGTGTTTTTGTGGACCTCGAATTATGGATCTTTCAACTAACTGAAGGTATTATTTTTTGTCAATACAAATTTTGATGGTTCTTGAACTAGGCTTTCATTAAGGGTTGCTTTGTTGCAAGAAAAATGAATGCTATATCTTTTGTACATTCATTTTAATCCCTTATATTTTTGGCTTAAAATAAAAGAAATATAAAATAAAATTTTTATGTAGGGA